TGAGCCGTTTTTCGCACTGCTGATTCACAGGTATTTTTAAGAGTCGAACCTGGGATAGGGTTGTGCTGCTCAAGAATGTTCCCTTCTAAACTTCAGAGGATCTATCTAACTAACCTGTTGCTGAATAAAATATTAACATATGACCATGCAGACTAAGAATGGGAAATGCTCTTACATCCCATCTGCCTATAACGACAGACAAGCAACTATCCTGAGAGTAATCTTGGGTTAGTAAAAAAGAAAACTAGAGTTTTCAGCAACTCTTCAGGAATAAACTAGAGCACTTTTTTCAGCCAAAGAGAATGAAGTAAAGGGGGACTTCATGACTCAGACTCCTAGTAATGCCTTGTTGCCGGCTCTTGCGAGTCTTGTGCTATTTTCTGTTTATCTTAAATACCCAGCTGCTGCAATCAAAGAACTGCAGGAGAATCTCAACTTTCATTTTTTAAAAGTGAGTTTTTCATTCCTAGTTGTTGCGGAGAAGAGCTTAAAACATGACGTGAAAGCACGCTGAAGGCTCAGAAAACAGAAGGCAAATAACAAGAAGCCAACAAAATTTATTATTTTAGAAACAGCTCATGATTCTTAATCCACTCTTATGATTTGTGGGTGCTTTACCAATTAATAGAAATAGACCCAAGCTGCAGTTTGGATCTGAAGCTAAACATCCTTAAAGTTTGGGGTGTTTCACTGCGGGCGGTAGGGCTTGGTTCTGCTAGCTATAGGACAGCCTTGTTCTTTGAAGTTCAATATGGCACCTGCCAATACCATAAAAGGGTCCTAGATTTCAGAAAATACATCCAGCCTTCTGATGTTCTGATCTTGGGAGAGGCTGGTTTCCGATATGACCTCATTCGCATTGAAAACTGAGTAATGAGCTGTTTGAATAGGATCCCATAAGTGTCACTTCCTGTATCAAAATTATTTTTTTCATGGAAATTTCATTACGAAGTAACATGGAAAACCATAATCTCTGTGAAATGATTTATGACTTGCAGTTAATGGCCACTTGATTGGTTAACGGCCTCAGGTGTAAAGCTGACAGCATCACCATTAATTGTTCTAATAGCTTATAGTTAAGGGAGATTGGTACCATATGTTGTTGTTCTTACCTTTATTGTTTTAATCAAGGGTTAGTTCGGCTGTTAAAATCGTTAACTGGATCTCTCCTAGGAGAAAGGAGGATTTATTATATACCAGCCCTCCCTGGTGCTCTGAAGAACACCAACCTTTCTGGACAGTGTAGTTTCTTTATTCTGCTGTTCTTTTTAGTGCCTCTCCTCTCACACTGGCTTCCATACACAGTGTAATGTCTTGGGGGGAGGGAAGGGGAGGAGACTTACAATTTCTTTCAGACTCCTCTGTTTCAAAATCCATATCCAGCTCCAAGCATTTAACAAGTATTACAACCTCCTTGTTGTCTAAGGCTTTGTCTACACTTGCGGTGGCGTGTACATGTACATGTAGTTACATGCGGCACTGGAAAGCAGGCTGCCTCCACACTGAGATGTATAGCTACACGTGGAGATGAATGGCTCTGATAGTTGGTAGGCAGCGGGACATTACACTGCTAAAAACAGCAGTGTAGACGTAGGAGACACTGCTTGGGCGTGTAGAGAACTGTGTAGGGAATATACCCTAAAGTTCTAGCATGTCTGTACTCACCTAAGCAGCGCATCACCATCTACACTGCTCTGTATATCCATGCTACGGCAATGTCTGTGCACTACACGCTGCCATAAGTGTAGACATAGCCTAATACAAGTGCTTACTACACCTTGTAGAAATAAGTTACACTCTATTTACCATTTGCTTATTGTCAACTAAGTTCCAGTTGTAGGGCCAGATTTCGTTTTCATGTACTCCTGTTCATTTACTCCTGTTGTAATAATTGGAAGATTGTGGGCTTGTAACACTGAAAATAGAATTTGGCCCATAAAATCTTTTTAATACTGGTGATTCATGAGCCGTAAAGAATACAGCTCCATTGTTGGAGCCCAGGTTGAATTTGAAGAGCTTTCATTTGGGGGTGGGGGGTGGGAGGAGTCTTACTTGTAGTTGATTTGCAAATCACTGGGACAGTAAACATTCCAGCTCATTTTTAGAGTCATATGTGAGTGCGCTCAAAGCTCAAAATTGCTTCATATTTTATAAATCCTGATGTCTTCAAAACCCTCGGCTAATAGAAATGTTTGTAATTTTTACAATTCCAATAGAAAACAGCTGCCTTTAAACAAACATTTTCCATCAGTGTATGCAATTCAAATAATGCAGCATTGAGGATCTGAAAGTAAAACTGGCTGGATGGATTTTCGTTGTCCAAGCTGAGAGGAAATGCCAAAACTAAACAAATAAAAGAAATATTGATGCACACTCAGGATTTTAAGAATTCTGTGATCTTGTTAGAGGGAGGCAGTGTGGCCTAATGGATAGAGTATTGGACTGGGACTCTGCTTCTATTCCCAGCTCTGTAATTGGCCGGTTGTGACACTCGGGTAAGTCATTTCACTTCCGTGCCTCAGTTTCCCCATCTGTAAAAGGTGGATAATGATACCAACCTCCTCAGATCTACTGATGAAAAGCTCCATATAAGAGCCTTACTATTTACTATATAAGAATATTACTATTATTAATATCTAAGATGATGCTAATAGCACAGGTAAAGATAATTGTTCTTTAGCTTAAAACCAGGTCAGAGAAAAGTAGGTACAATCTCTTGCATCAGATGGAATCTTTTAATCTGAATTAGAAAATCATGGTTTGATATGATGTTCACAGTTTGGGCCCATTTCTTACGTTAGTAACAACTAATCAAAGATTCTTGCATGCCACCTCACAGAGAATAAAATCACACAACTAGAAGGGAAGCTAGTCATTGAAATACTGAGTGATGTAATCAAATAATAATTTGCAGGAGGAGTGTGTGGGAATGCTAACTACATAAAGTTTTGCCCCAGTGCCTTTTGTCTCTGTTGGTTAAATAGCAAGAGATCTGATGATTAGACAAAGACAACAAGAATTCTTTATGCATTCCTGCCTCAGTGCCGCTCCATGTGCTGGATGATTGAAACAAAATTTTCCTTTGCCAAGGAACTCAGTAGTAAGAGACAAGTTCATTAACAGAATTGTCAGAATTTGCATCTGCCAAAGAAGACAATGCATTATGGAACTGATTAGCAGAGTATCATATTCCGGCCATGTGCTGTGAAATCTAATGTGTTTTGCACCTGTTGGCAACAAATGGAAACAAACTTTTGTTTAGCATGTCTTGAAAATATGTGTACCGTACAGCATTTGGATAATGACTCGGCAAACAGTCAGTCCAAGTCATAAATCTTGATTCAATGTAGTGTTTGGTTAAATTCTTGTTTCCTAACATCACCAAAGGTATCAGCTGTGGTATTAACACATTTCTTCTTTATGCAAACTAACCATTGCTTTAAGCATTTGTTGTTTATTTAAATTGAGAGCAGAGAAAAGATGAAACATATTGCACCCAAAATGGTTTTAAAAATCCCTTCCAATTCCTCCCTAGACACTGCTAGATCAGTGAATGATTTCCTTACCCATTCAGATTCAGTTTTCCTTTTGTGATGGTTCTTAAAGTGCAGAAATAACAATCCAGTAGTTTAAGAGGGTGTGTGTTTGGATGAATTGGTAACTCTTTCCTGAAATATATATGTGTGTGTGTGTGTGTGTGTGTATATATAGAGAGAGAGACACACTCAAGCACACACAGTGTGCTTTATTTATAGTCTTTGCTATGGCTCTGATTCCCCTAATATCTGAGACACTAATGAATTTATCTTCACAGCATCCTCTGAGGTAAGATGGGAAATGGAGACAGACAGGTTAAGGCACTTACCAAAGGTTAGAGGAAGATGGGTAGAGAATCTGGATCTCTTGAGTCCCAGTCCAATGCATAAAGAACAGGAGTACTTGTGGCACCTTAGAGACTAACAAATTTATTAGAGCATAAGCTTTCGTGGACTACAGCCCACTTCTTCGGATGCATAACATCCAATGCGTGAAACACAAGACCATCTTTTTATTTGGGGGAGGGGAAAGAGAGAGAAATAATGGTGTCGTCCCAAATGAGTGCAAATTACCTTTATGCTAGGTCACAAAATATTCATGAATCACATGGTTCTGCAATTTATCCCATGAATGTCATCTCTGTGGTGTACTTACTATGCACCTTTGACCACTGCACCTGCCCTCTGTCTGCCAATCCATCTCCTCAGGACCCATTCTGGCACTTCAAGGCCCTGCTCAGCTTCAAACTGCTGACAGTTTTTGAAAAACGGAACCTGCCAAAGTAACATGACCTCCTGTTCTCCATCTATTTTGGGGATTTCCCCACACACCCCAAAATTAAAATTACACTTGCCCAAGACCCATGATGGGAAAAATTAGTATTTAGGCAGGGTGTCAGCTCTCCTGTACCTAAAGAATTACAGCTTTTCAGTCCAATTTCTCACAGCAGTGCAGGAGATCACTTTAATAACTTTCTTTCCCCCTCCCCTTCCCCCAGTCCATCCTTAAAATGTCCAGACCCATGAAATAATTTGATGAATTATTTAAATTAACCGGGCATACCAAAATCGCTTACATAGCTTTGGTCAACATGCTGCAGCTGTAAATCCAGAAAAATGGCAGCAACTATGGGTTGAGCGCTATGTGAACAAAGGTCTTGTCAGGAGGAAAGGTGTGATTGATGGCTATGCCCAGGCATCACTTTGCATTCATTTTTATTAGTATCATGAGACCCTTAAGTCCTACGTTAACCATCATTATAAGAGACCATTGGTGTATCTCAGTTGTAGAGTCTGTAGCCATCTTCAAAGAGTGATTTATGTCTCATGTGAGACTTCACCTTGTGACCTCCTTAACTGCCAGCATGCCGAAGCCTTGCGAATGAATAGAGCTGTGTATTTTGTGTGATTTAATTGATTTGGATTCTTGACTGACTCTTGTTTACAATTTTCCATTTCATTTAGGAGGTCCTCCAGCAGCTGATCGTTATGCATTTACCAAACGTTTTAACGATTGGCAAAGATCCTCTTTCCGGTGAGTAATTTGGGTAGTTTTTTCCTTCGAGTTGTACACAACATTGTTAGTTCCATAAATTTTTTTCTTTTGATACTGTACATGCACTTTCCCAAACTAGGACTAATCTGGGGGATGGGGAGAAGAGAGAAAAAGCTAATTCTTTGTGGCCCCTATTACCATAGTATATGAGTTCCTTGCAATTTTTTGTGTGTGTATTTATCCAGAAATTACCTTGTGAGATGAAGAAGGCTTATTAGTTCTATTTCATAGATGGGAACTGAGGCGCAGAGAGACTAAGTGACTTGCCCAAGATAACACAGGAAGTCTGTGGCAGAGCACAGAATTGGCCCTGTCTCTTGAGTCCTATACTAGCACTCTAGCCACTGGCTCATCCTTCTTCTTGTGGAAGATTGGCTCTGGACCCACTCCCCATGTGCTCCCATAGCTGGTAAAGAGCAGCGAGGGTTTTCTTGGAAGCTACCTTCCTTGGGTCTCTGCTCCAGTGCAGCCCATGATGTAGGCTGACATGGGAATGTCTCTTGTCCTGCTGTGTTCCTGTCCTCTGCTCCTGCAGCACTCAGCTCAGTTGTGAGAGCACACATGAGCGTGGTCCCACAGAGCCAGCTGCGGATGCTTGCACCAAGAGCAGTGCTGGCTGAGTAGCCATTTGCTAAGTGGTGGCATGTGCTGTGGTGAAGGGGCTGCCACCAAGAAAGTGGGGGAAGAGGCAAAAATACACAAGACAACACGGCGAAAGGGAGAAAATGAAAAGGAGTAGAGGGGATCAGGGAAAGGAGAGAATAGATGGGGGTGGGGGAACGGGACAACAGATGGTTAGCAATCATGCCAGGCGTTTTGTTAAGGGACACCAGGGCAGACACTCTGCCCTGCCACTCCATCGCACGGAGAATACCACCAAAATAAGTTGGGAACCTCTGAGCTAATGTTTGACTTTCCCAGTTCATTGCTGGGGTTTAGAATATTGAAATTGATCTTTCCCAGCCTGCACGTCTCTAAAATTATGGGTTTTCTTGTTAGGTTTTGACTTTATGCCAAATGCCCATTTCCTTAACCTCCTTGCAAAAGCCAAGGAAGAAATACCAGTTTTACCTTAGAAGGAAAATTGGATAGCCGGCGTTGATTGAGAACGATGTGGTGTAACAAACATCCCACCAGAATAATAAGCCTCAGCATGAGGTTTCTTTTTGCTGTGCTTAGCAGCAGTGTTGGGGTGTTTTGTTTTATTTTTAGTCAGAAAATAAATCTACCCTCCAGTCCATGGACCACTACAGTTTGTACTCCTAGCACCTTTGCAGTTACGATTGCCACTTGCCCAGCATGCCCACAAAAGACAGTGTAAGGTCTGCAAGCCCCCCCTCCCCCCCATAGAGGCTACCTGAATGGCCAGGCCCAGTACAACAGGGTGAACAGGCATGGGGGTGTGCTGTGTGCACAGAGAACAGGTGAGGGCAGAGCCTTGACTCCATCCATCCAATGCACCAGACAGCAGAGATGTCCAGGAGCAAAGTGGGAGTTAATCTGCTGTTGGCCAAGAGTAGGCTCGGATTACTTCTTCCTTCCCGTCAAAGGTGAGTTGTGCATCAGAGAGTCGTTCTTGGTCTGTCCCTGGGGCAGCTCAGCTACACAACACCCCGCGCCCAGGGCAGATTGTGAAGTTGCTGTCTCCCTTTAATATATGGCCAGTGTAGTCTGTGAGTTACATACTGCAAAACCCACCTCGAGTACTTCTGTTCTCTGAGCCACTGTTCTTCTGGAAGTAGATGTAGCTGTGTTGCTTTCTACCTTCAGAGGTCACCAGTCCTCATCCTTCTCCTCTCTCCTCCTATCTCGTAACCTCCCTCCCAGAGCAACTTTGAGATCCATCTTAGGAAAAGGCTGACTGGCCTGTCTTCCTGGCCCGATGTGAACAGCAATTGATAAAAAGGTACCACGGTAGGTTTTCAAATCCCTTCACAGTGGAAGCTGCATTCAAAACATCCTAGAATGTGAACCCGATGGATATCTGCATTTAGATACCACTTGATATTAAACAGTCCTGCCACTGTGTTTGGTGAGGAGATCATTGCTGTGGGAGTCCGGTTGGTGTAGAACTCTCTTCCCCCACCTGAAATCAATCTCAGTCCTTCTTTCCCCACTTCTAACAAGCACCTGAAATTTTTCTTGTAGAAAAGTCTTGCTTTAGAATGGCCACTGTTGGCCCATATTCATTACTTTCCAAACTTCTTCTGTTACAACCACTCACTTGCTTAATCCCTTTGAAGTTTTTTAGAAGGTGGATTTTAATTAATTTGTTATGACAAGTAGGCGGACACTATAAGTGTTATTGCTAATATTATACAGGAGTGTACACTGCGGTAGAGGCTTGGTAATGCAAAAGTGGAACAGCTTGAAGGCTGAAAGCAATGGGATTGGTGGGAAAATTTGAAGTTATTATTTAATATTTATATTATCATAGCACCTAGGAGCCCTAGTCATGCACCCCACTGTGATAGGTGCTGTACAAAAACAGAACAAAAACACTGACCTTTAAATATAAGACAAGAGGTAACAAATGGATACAGACAGGTAGTCAAGGGGAGTACAAGGAAACAATGGTTTCAACACACCGGTGGCCTAGCTGTTGTTAAGTTTTTTTGTAGGCATCACAGCAAAGGAGTGTTTTGGAGTGGAATTTGAAGGTGGATAATGAGGTAGTTTTGCAGATGTTTACAGGGAATTTTTCTCAACCATGAACGGCAGCTTGGGAGAAAGCATGAAGGTGCTTGTTTGAAAATTTAACGAGTGGGCGATGGAGGCTCATATCATGGGCCAGTCAGAAGTGGCAGTCAACACTTTGTTAGTGAGTGAGAGATGATAGGTAGGGTGGGGCTAGGCCTTTGACAGTGGAGACAATAGGTATGTTTGTTACAATAAAGAGGGAGCCAGGGAAGGGATGCAAAGAGAAGGATAGCATGGTCAAAGCGAAATGGTACAAGAATGATCTTTGCAGCAGCATTCTGAACGGATATGAATGAGGCAAGATTGCATTTGCCAAGGACAGAGAGTAGGCAGTTGCAGTAATCAAGATGTAACATGATGAGGGATAAGCGCTTCAGCGGTGTGGAATGATAGGAAGGGCTGTATCTTAGAGGTGTCATTCAGAAAGAATCTCAAAGATTTAAACATAGCCTAGACAGAGGTCAGATTCAAGGGTGGAGGAAAATGAAACAAGGAGAGAAGCAATAACCATATCGGTGGAAGAAAATGGGGAGAGAGAGATGCAAGGAAGAGAGGGCTGAGAGTAGATAAGAAATCAACCACACTGCTGCACTGGAAATCATAGAGGTGATAAGGCAGTGTGACAGGCAATAGTTGGAAAGGGGAAACTCCGCGAGAGAGAGAGAGCAGAGCTTGATGAAGACCAAGCTGAGTCCTTTTCATGACTGGAAGAGTTGAACCCGGGCTCCACATGCGATGAAGAAGTGAGGATGAGGAAGCGTGAAGCTAAGGGGTCAGAGGAGTCACCAACATGGAAGAAGAAGTTACTGAGGATGAATGTGGGAGACCGTCAGGAGAAGAAGAGAGAGATGGGTTGAAATCAGAGAGGAAGGCTGATATTTGGAGGAGTTGGGTGGATGGTAAACAGCAGCAACATGGAGGGGGAGAGGAGAGGAGTCAGCTGCAGTGCTGTTCAAAAGAGGAGATAGAGTGGGAAGGGGGAGAAGGGAGGAGTTGGAAGTGACAGGAATGGAAGAGGGGAAGCCCAACACCCCCAGCAGGGCCTGATCCAGGGCAGGGAGTGTGAAAGAAGGAGAGGCCTCCGTAAGAGAGTACAGCTGCTAAGGCCATGTCAGATGAAGGAATCCTGGTCTCTGTGAGAACCAAGAGCTGGAGGGAGCGAGATATGAAGAGGTCATGGATGGATGTGATTACTTTAGAGATGGAATGGGTATTCCAGAGACAGCAAGAGAAGGGGAGGAAAGAGGAGGATGGGTGTGAGGTTAAGAATGATGGCATAAGAGGGTGGGGATGGAGATGGAGGGAGGGCCCAGACTGGGGCAAATGTCACCAGAGGTAAGGAAGAGGAGGCAGAAGAGGGTGTAGATGTGGGATCTGGGTTTGTACTGATGGGAGCAGGGGGAAATCAGGAGTTAACTAACATTGGTAAAGGGTCTGTGTGTTTTCCTGGAAAAGGGAGATGTTGAGACAGCCATATTAGTAGGGGAAATAAATCAGATCTCATATTTAGATTCCTGGAATTTTGCTTAATTTAAAATAAGTAAATAAATAAAGGGATGATTTGTTTTGCTCAAACTGTGAAAGGTTTCTGAGTCCCTTCTGCCTTCATAGAGTCATTAATTCAAAGCCAGAAGGGACAGTCACTCTTGTATTGAGCCCAATTTGTGTTTCCCTAAAACACATCTTCCAGAATTGCCTGTTTGACAATTCAGAGTGTGAATTTTCCTTTGCCTTTGGTAAGATGTAGACCAAAGTGGCGTTATATATGTTAAAATGGGGACCTTGGTAGTAAGCGAGAATACTTATATCCCTTAAATACTCATTCACGTATATATGTGAGTGTTTCAGGCCACTGGAACTGCTATATTGTTCTTAGAAGTACAGTCCCACCTCCTGGACTTAACACTTCAAACAATACAGTTTTCAGTGGGACAGTGCTTATGCAATGGCACATGTTCACTGGGTTTAGAAGATGTAACCCTTCCCGGTGCCCTCTAAATATTTTTTCCAGTCCATGCTAATTTCATCTGGTTCAATTCAGATGAAGATGAGGATAAATATTTAAAAAAAGAAAAAAAAAGCCTGTGCACTGAATTGTTGAACTTAATAGTTAGTTGCTGAAAAGTAAGGAACTGAAAAAAATCTGTGAGTTCATAGCGGTGGAAAACTTCTGAGACACATTAGACAGTGCTGCTGGGAGATACAGGATTGGTACTCTCTTTACTGCTTTGTACAATATACAGTTGTTAGAGCATTACATTCACATGTTGCCATCTTCT